GGCAATGGCGGGCACGCCCACTGAGAGGGTTCTCTCTGCCACCTCTGGTACGTGCACCACAGGTTCACCATCACGGCTCTATACCACTTCAGGCAAACGGCTGTCCAATCTCTTCTTCAAAACTTCCAGTGTTGGAGCAAATCCACCACAGCTCTCCAAATTTCCAAAACAACCAAGCAGGGCAGGAAAAATAAAAAAAACCCTCCCTCCAAAGTAGGATTTGTGGCCACCCTGCAACGCTTCCTGGTGTCAGCGGGAAGGGGCCTGCAGGGATCCCAAAACCGGATGAGCGATCCAAAAACAAAGCACCTTTTTTTTCTCTTCGGAGAACCACGCTGTCACCCCACAATTATCTCCGCAAAAAAAAAAAAAAAAAAAAGGAGAGGCGCCTGCACAGGATATCCCATAATGATACCACTGCCCAAAATGCCAAACAGGTATAGCTCACCTTGCACTCCCGCTCCCAATTTATTTCTTTCCCTAGGAAAGGGCATTTCGGATGGCTGTTCTCCCTTACTGGTTTTGCAAGGGGTTGATGGGGGAGTTGAAAATGTTACAGGAGAACATTCCAACTTTTAAGTTACTGGTTCTTAGATGGGAAGCGAAGGAGAATTCCTTGGCTGAAGCTTAAGGGAGCCTCGGGCCTTGGCTTTGCCTAAAATCCCTGCATTTCCAGAAGTTGGGAATTATCTTACATCCCATGGAGTAAGAAATCCTCACAGCTGTACTGTAGGACTTGTAGGGAAAGGAAGAGCCAACTTCTGAAAAGTCTAAAAGGTCACCTGTATGAATTCCTGCAGGTGACCTTCCTTCCTTCTCCCTTTCTTTCTTTCCCTTCTCCTTCCTTCCTTCCTCCTTTCCTTCCTTGCTTCTTTGCTTCCTCCTTCCTATTCTCCCCTTCTCTCTCCCTTTCTCTCTTTTCTCCCTTCTTCGTTCCCTGTCCCTTACTTTCCTATTCTTTCTCCCTTCTCCTTCCTCCCTTTCTTTCTTTTTTTCCTCCCTCCTTTCCTTTCTTACCTCTCTTTCTCTCCCTTCTCCTTCCTTTCCTTTCTATTCTTTCTTCCTTCTCTCCCTTTCTCACCTCCCTTCCTCTTTTCCTTCCCTTCTTTCTCTCTTCCTTCTTCTTCCTTTCTTTCCTTTCTACTTTCCTTCTTTCCCTCTCGTCCTTCCTTACCTTCTCGTCCTTTCTTCTCTCTTCTACTTCCATTCCCTCTTCCTCCCTTCCTTCCCTTGTAAACCAAACATTGAGAGCGTGGGAAGTGTAATTCAAAAAGGAGATTCCAATTTTTGTGTAGTTTAAGTTTATTTAGGAAGGCAAGCTTTAAAAATTCTGCTTGTGCTTTCGATAAGGCAGCAAGTACCACTAAATACTTATATCCGGTTTTTTAAACTACAACGGGATGGAATGCAAAACAAACAGATTAACATGTCCAATTGTTTTAATTAGCAATTCCAAGTTTCCTTAGTGAATTAAATCCATCTAGCCTCAGGCACTTCCTAACAAAACACAGTGATGCAACTGGACCTCACAAGGAAATCACAAAGGAAAGTGCAAACTCGCCACTTGTACCACAACCAGCAGAGTTGGCACATAATGGCTAACTATAAGCCATGGTTTATAGACTCTACGCCTCTCTACACCTGGGCTCTTGCTCAGGAAGAACCAGATACTGAGGGCTCAGCATGATGCCATGAGCCAGGCCAAAAAATAAGTTTCCTTCCAGAAAAACAAATTCCATACATAACACAAATGGTTATCAAATGCCAGCTTTTAAGAAAAATCAGCAGCTCAGCTATGTAGACTTGCAACAATATGAGAAGAGAATGTTCCAGAAATTAACTCCCTTGAAAAGGTTGCAAGGAAACTGAGATTAGGGTCTAGAACAGTATTTCTCAACCGTGGCGACGTGAAGAGAGGTGTCCGGGATGGGGAATTCTGGGAGCTGAAGTCCACCTGCCTTTAAAGGTTGGCACAGTTGAGAAATACTGTTGTTGTTTTTTTGGAATTTTTTTTTTGAGAACATACCATTCCACGATCCCATCCTCTCCCATAACGGTCCCCTATGGGATGTAATTTAGCTTCCGTGACCCACTTTCCCCATAAAGAAGAAAAGCTAAGGATTCGAATCTAGAACCTTTCAGACGCATTGCATTTCCACACCCGAGAAAGCACCCCAAGATTCTCTGCTAGGATATGGTGGGACAGGTGGGAGGGTTCTGCAGAAAACAGGATAGCTTTTAATGGTAGAAAGTAAGTGTTGGAAAGGATCTTTTAGAGGTCATCTGGTTCAACCCATTCAGGATACAGGGAGGGAGGGAAGGAATGGGAAGGGGGAGAGAGGGAGGGAGGGAAGAAGGAAGGGGGGAGGGAGAGAGGGAAGGAAGAGAGAGAGAGGAAGGAAGGGAAGGAAGAAGGGAGGGTGGAAAGAAAGAAGGAAGGAGAAGGGAGAGAAAGAAAGGGGGGAAGGAAGGAGAAAAGAAAAAGAAGGGGGAAGGAAGAAGGGAGAGAAAGAAAGGGCAAGGAGGAATAGTGAGAAGGAAGGAAGGAAGGAAGGAAGGAAGGAAGGAAGGAAGGAAGGAAGGAAGGAAGGAAGGAAGGAAGGTCACCTGCAGGAATTCAAACAGGTGACTTTAGACTATTTAAAAGCAGTCCCCTTTTTCCCCCCTTAATAGTCAAGCAAGTCCCAGTGTGGCTTGAGGATTTCTTACTACATGTAATGTAAGACAATTCTTCCTGAACTGATGAAGCTTCTTGGACGACAAGCCTTCAAGGAAAAACAAAGTCCAGCTGCCTTTTGAAAAAGCCCCATTGGCATGCCAAGGAAGAGCACCCCAGCTCGCCAAAGCCTTTTTTTTTTTACCTTTTAATAAAATACTTTCGTCTGAAAAGGTGGTGCCAGATTCCTTCTCTGATTCCCCACCCCTGTCCAAGGACTCCTGGTTTAGACACCTAACAGTGGTTAGCTGCTAAACCAGGGTTAACGGAAGGCCACTGCCATGCTCGTGCAACCTGCAGTGGGAGGACAGGTTTCCCATAATACCGATGCCCCTGGGAGTTAGCAGGTGGTGTGAACGGAAGAGCCTCCAGGGTTGTGGTGACCCAGAAGGTCTGGATTCAAAAGCCGGAGCGAGTTAACAGGCGGTGGGGCTTAGTAAGGGCATCTTCCCTCCTTTGACAGATGCAAGAAGGAGCAGCTTAGCAACTACTTAGTCCAGAGGCTGAGAAACACAAGGGAGGGGTGGGGGAGAACCTCGGCTGCCTTTTTGATCCTCAACCCCACAAGGCAGAAGGAAGTAAACCTCATCATTTCTGGAGACACAATTCTAGGCCACATCGCCCAGGAGGGCTGTCCGACTGTGTGCGTGGAATAAATGCTACTTTGGGAAGAAGAAAACCTGGGCAAGGTAGAAGGTACCCCTAAACATTTGAGCTGGGAGGGGGGGTGGGGAGAGAAGGAGGAGAAAAACATATAGGACGAACTCTTTGTGGGAGGGGGGATATTTTAGAAATGAATGGATTTTAGGTACCCCACTGGGTGATCGAGGCTTATTAAGTGCCAGGGATCTGGCCTGGAATGGATTTTAGGTGCCCACCTGGATGATCGTGGCTTGTAGGTGCCAGGGATCTGGTCTGAAATAAATATTAGGTGCTGTACTGTAAAATTGTGGCTTGTAGGTGCCAGGGATCTGGCCTGGAATGGATTTTAGGTGCTCTACTGGGTGATTGTGGCTTGTAGGTGCCAGGGATCTGGTCTGAAATAAATATTAGGTGCTGTACTGTAAAATCGTGGCTTGTAGGTGCCAGGGATCTGGCCTGGAATGGAAATGAATGGATTTTAGGTACCCCACTGGGTGATCGAGGCTTATTAAGTGCCAGGGATCTGGCCTGGAATGGATTTTAGGTGCTCTACTGGGTGATCGTGGCTTGTAGGTGCCAGGGATTTGGTCTGAAATCAATATTAGGTGCTCTACTGGAAAATCATGGCTTGTAGGTGCCAGGGATCTAGTCTGAAATGAATGGATTTTAGGTGCCCCACTGTGTTATCGTGACTTGTTAAGTGCCAGGGATCCGTCCTAGAATGAATGGAGTTTAGGTGCCTAGCTAGATCCTGGTGTTTGTAAGTGCCAGGGATCCGATGTGAAATGAATGGATTTTAGGCGCCCCACTGGAAGATCGTGGTTTGTTAAGTGCCAGGGATCCGTCCTGGAATGAATGGAGTTTAGGCGCCCCATTGGAAGATCGTGGCTTGTTAAGTGCCCGGGATCCGGTCTCAAGAGTCCCCACCTCCTTATTATTTTTTGAAACAAGTGCTGGTTAAACTTCTCCGAGTAAGAAAACGAGAAGAAAACCCGCGGGGAAATCCTATCCCTCCTTCCTCCCGATCCTGGGCATTCCGAAGCAAGATCTCCCCCTCCTCCTCCCCTCCTCCCCCCCCCCCTCTTTTTTCCTCCGCCGCTCGGCCAAGGCAGCCAGCGGGAGAAGGGGGGGCACCCCCCCCCCGCCCCCCCGGGAAAGGGACGCAAAGGGGCCCCCCCCCCCCGCAGCCCGCTCTCCGCTTCCCCGATCCCCGGCGGCGCCTCCCCTGCCCGCCCTCCCCCTTCCCCACCCCGCTCAGTTTCGCCTGAAACTCTCCCCCCCCCTCTTCCTCCTCCCTCCCTCCCTCCCTCCCAGCGGGGTCCGGCGGCGGGGAGCGCCCGGCCAGGTGAGAGCCGCGCAGGGCGTCGCCTCCCGCCCGCACCCGTCCAGCTCAGGGCGGCCGGCCAGGGAAACAGGTTCTTGGGCCCTCGGCCATCTTGGCGGGGGGACGGCGAGGGGGAAACTTCGGCCGGCCATTTCGGGGAGAGGGCGAAGCCGCCAGCGGGAGACAGAGAGAGAGACACAGAGAGAGAGACCGTCAGTCCGTCCCTCCGTCCGTCTCTCCCTCCGTCGGGCGGGCAGCAGCAGACTGAAGGAAGCCTGGCGGAGCCCCCCGAACCCACCTACCCGCCCACTCACTCACCGGAAAGGCAGCCCCAGAGGAGGCTCGCCCAAGCGCACGGCCGCCGCGGCGAGCCCATGGGGCGGAGGAGGAGAAGAAGGCGAGCGGGCGGTGGGTCCTCTGCGGCCGGGTCCGAGGCTGAGCTGCGCCGCGTCTTTTCGGCTCCGGAGCGGCCGCTTCTGCTTCTGCTTCTTCCCAGCTGGGTTGCCGCTTCTGCCTCGCGAGCAACTCTGGCCGCTCAGGGCGCCTCGGGCACCCATCCGTGGGGAGGGGGGCGGAGCGGAGCGGAGGCCACGCCCACCCCAGGTGCCACCCCCACCCACCCACCCCCGCACGCTGGGTGTATGTATGTATGTATGTATGTGTGTGTGTGTGTGTGTGTGTGTATATATATATATATATATATATATATATATATATATATATATATATATCCTCCCCTCTTTCGCGGAGCAGCGCCAGTCCACCTGGGCAGCCGACAGGTGAGGTCGTTGGCCGGATGCGGGGACCCGGCCGCGGTGTTTGAGGCACCTGGCCTTGATCCGGGGTTGGGTAGGTGGGTAGCAACAGGGCTTAGACTTATAGACTGCTTTATAGACCTCTCTAAGCCGAGTTGGCCTCTGGCCCCAACAATCTGGGCCCTTTTTACCGACCTCAGAAGGATGGGAGGCTGAGGTCAACCTTCAGCCTGGTGAGAATCGAACTGCTGGCAGTTGGCAGGAAGGAGGGAAGGAAGGAAGGAAGAGCAATAAGACTTGCATACGGCTTTACAGCGCTTTATAGCCTTTTCTAAGCAATTTACAGAGTCAGCCTCTTGCCCCCAACAATCTGGGTCCTCATTTTACCCACCTCGGAAGGAAGGAAGGAAGGAAAAGGGGAAGGGAGGGACGGAGGAAGGGAGAGAGGAAGGAAAAGAGAAAAGGAAGGGGGAGAGGGAGGGAGGGAGGAAAAGAGAAAAGGGAGAGGGAGGAAGGAAGGAAAAGAAAAAGAGGGGAGGGAGGGAGAACAAGATTGGAGGGGGGAAGAGGAAGGGAGAGAGGGAGGGAAGAAGATATATAGAGAGAAAGATGAAAGAAGGAAGGAAGGAGAGAGGGAGGAAGGGGGCAAGCAAAAAGGAAGGAAGGAAGGAGAAAAGGAAGAGCAATAAGACTTATATAGCGCTTTATAGCCCTTTCTAAGCAATTTACAGAGTCAGCCTCTTGCCCCCAACAATCTGGGTCCTCATTTTACCCACCTCGGAAGGAAGGAAGGAAGGAAGGAAAAAAAAGGATTAGCACTTAGTCTTATAGACCACTTCACAGTGCTTTTACAGCCCTCTCTAAGTGGACTGAGTCAACCTTGAGCCGGTCAGGATCAAACTGCTGGCAGTGGACAGAGTTAGCCTGCAATGCTGCATTCTAATCATTGTGCACAATGGGAGGGAAGGAAGGAAAGGAAAAGCAATAACATTTAGACTTATATACTGCTTCACAGTGCTTTTACAGCTCTCTCTAAGCGGTTCCAGAGTCGAACTCTTGCCTCCAACAATCTGGGTCCTCATTTGACCCACCTCGGAAGGAGGGAAGGCTGAGTCATCCTTGAGATGGTCAGGATCGAACTGCTGGCGATGGGCAGTCAGCCTGCAATATTGCATTCTAATCATTGGGCGCCATGGAAGGAAGGGAGGGAGAAAGGAAGGAAGAGAGAAAAGGAAGAACAATAGTATTTAAACTTATATACCGCTTCACAGTGCTTTCGGAGTCCTCTCTAAGTGGTTTACAGAGTTGGCCTCTTGCCCCCAACAATCTGGCTGGGTTTGCATGCTAAGCCACGCTCAGTCGTGGTTTACTGGGCCAAAGGAATGCGTTTGCAGCAATGAAAGAAATGCAAATACAGATTGTCCTTGATTTAGGACTGTTTAGCGAGCTTCGAAGCACAGCTGGCTGGGGAATTCTGGGAGTTGGAGTCCAGACATCTTCAAGTTGGAAAAGTTGAGAAAACCTGAGGCACACAAGTGTAAAATTTACCTGCCAGGCACCAAGGAACATTTCCAAGATTTAGAGGCTCGCCAGCGTCTCCTGACAACGTTCCTACGGGATAAACCAAGTTGCCCTAGTTATTTACCATGGAGAGTAGCATTTTCTAACGTTCTCACGTCGCTGTTTCCATTTCCCTGCAAGTAGAAAAACTAGCACAGCAAGGAAGCTGGATGACGGATACGTGTTTTCCCTGATAAGCTAGATTTCCACACTGGGACTGATTTTCAACCCAGGGCAGTCTTCAGAAATGCTAGCTGAGGGAGGGAAACGGTTGTCTCAAGAGGTCTGCAGGTCATTTTCTTAAGAGTATTAATTTTTATTTCTGGAATCTGAATAAAATTCCATTTTTCCACCCCTTTTGGTCACTCTGGAGACATCTTGCTGATCTTACAATCATCCAGCGCCCTCTAGTGGTCTGTCTTTGCATGCATGCATACAAACACTCAGTTGGAAAATAATTACATCCTATTCTATTTTTAGAATTGCTTTCCTCCACCTGTTGCTCTTCGGAGGAGGGAGTTTCCATACAAACTGCAAAGGGGGGGGGGGGCAAGTGACGTGTGTTTGTGTGTGTGTGTTGAGAAATGATCCTCTAGGTGTTGCAAATCATTTTTATTTATATTTCTTATTTCTAAATAGCCCTTCTCCTTCAGATGCGATCAATAAACAATAAAATTCACATTAAAATCAGAATAATTTAGGGGTGCGGTTTTTTTTCTTGCAACTTCCACAATGACGTCATTGTGGGTTGTATATGACTGCCTCTCTCTCCTCTCTCTCTCTCACTGTCTCTCACTCTCCTCTCTCTCTTTCTGTCTCCCCCTCTCCTCTCTGTCTTTCTCCCTCTCCTCTGTCTCTGTGTCTCTCTCCTCTTGGTGTCTCTCTCTCTCCTCTCTGTCTCTCTCTCTCTCTCTCTCCCTCTCCTCTCTGTCTCTCTCTCTCTGTCTCTCTGTGTCTTTCTCCCTCTCCTCTGTCTCTGTGTCTCTCTCCTCTTGGTGTGTCTTTCCTCTTGGTGTCTCTCTCTCTCCTCTCTCTCTCTCTCTCTCTTCTCTCTCCTCTCTGTCTCTCTCTCCCCACTACCCACCCCAGCATGCTGGTTGTCAATTCCCCTCTATCCTGCTGGTCGCCCAGCCTCATGGAAATTGGAATCTCTCCAAACAGCAGGCATCCACATGAATAATGTAGAATGAAGCTGGCTGGCATGTTTTGCGGGCGCGAGTCTCTTATTCCAGATGCTATTCGTGTGCAATTCAAAACCTCACATTCCTTTCACTTCCTCAAAATCAGGCTGTTCCCCCCCCTCCCCCTTTTCAGGCTCAGTCACCAGTTCCTTCCATTCACCTGGCCTCCCCTTTCTGAAACCCTCCCTTACAATTGCAGGGGAACCACCAGGGCTGCCGGTTGAAGAAAGAGATCCTTTTATTTTTTAACTTTTACTTATTAATTCTATCCTGCCTTCATTTTTTGTTAATAACTCCAGACAGATCTAATACTCCTTCCTATTTTCCCCACAACAACAACCCTGTGAGGTGGGTTGGGCTGAGAGACTGGCCCAAAGTCACCCGGTCGGTTTTCACGCCCAAGGCGGGACTAGAACTCACCGTCTCCTGGTGGTTGGGTCAAAGTCACCTAGCTGGCTTTCATGCATGAGGTGGAACTGCAGCTCACACTCTCCGGGTTTCTACCCTGGTACTTTCACCACGAGAGCAAACTGTCTCTTAATTTAATTCTATAGGTAAAGTATATAATCACACATAAATAGAAATTGGAAGACATTAAAAGAATAAAGCAGAAATGAGTAAACAAACGTTCAAAAAAAAATAAAGTTTTTCCGATGCATGATAAATTATTATGAATGATTAAATGCAACAGGTTGCTTTAAGTGTCTCAAATCCTCATTTAAGCTTTAAGCCAGTAAAAATACCTACAAATGTGATCAAGGAAGTATGATCACATAAAATGATGGCCTATGGTATATTACTAACAAAGATTCTCAGTTTTGATTCAATTTTTAATTTGAATTTCAAACCTGGCTGCCTAGCGATGGTTCATTTTCCCACGTATAGATAATCCTCAACTTACAACAGTCATTTCATGACAGTTCAAAGTTACGATGACACTGAAAAAAATTGACATGGCCAGTTTTCACACTTACGACTGTAGTTTATGTGATCAAATTTTAGAAGCTTGGGCAGCTGGTTCATACTTATGACCGTGCCAGCGTCCCAAAGTCGTGATCTCTTTTTGCAACCTTTTGACAAGCAAAATCCATGGGCAAACCAGATTCACTTAACGTTGTTACTAACTTATCAACTGCAGTGATTCACTTAACAACGGTGACAAGAAAAGTCATAAAATGGGACCTGTCACTTAACAAATGTCTCACTTCACAGCAGAAATTTTGGGCTCAATTGTCATAAATCAAGGACTACCTGTATATGAGGGAATTCTGGGAGTTGAAGTCCACTGTCATGCCCCTGTTGGAGTCTGAATCCGAGGAGGAAGACGAACAGCTGACAGGGAGAGGGAGTGTGGCTCCGTTGGCTGTAGAGGAAACGGGAAGGGGAAAGTCCATCTGGGCAGAGCAGGGAAGAGGTAGAACAAGGGAGAGGTAGAACAAAGGAGAGGGAGTTCAAAGGAAGACCAGGCCAACTCCTCTTCATCCTAGAGCATGCAGGGACGAATGGAGAAGAGAGCAATGTGGGTTGCATGGCTTACGGGAGAGGAAAGGGCCCTGATTCCCTTCATTAGCCACAGCTGGGAATAGAGTTTAAAAGAGATGCAAGCTGAGTCTGGCAGGCTGATGGGAGCAAACATGACTTTATCCTGTGTTGTCGTGGCTTATCTGTGTTCCTGGCGTCTTCCCAACTGTGTGAGTTTTGCCATGCCTTCAAATTTGAAATTCTTGCTCCTGCCCTGCCAAACTAATTACTTCAGTTTGGCTTGTTTGGACTTTAAGTTACAGTTTGTGTTGACCATGTTTTAGACTGAATTCTCTGCAGTCCAAGGCTGTTCCTGGGAGAGTTTTTCTTCAGCCAGAAGATAAGCTGGACATTGGGGGCAAAGTTGGAGATAATAAAGGGACTCTTATTGATTATCTGACTATGTTGCCTTTGTGCCATGCCCCGGATCATCACATCCACACATCTTAAAATGGCCAAAATTGAGAAACATAATCTTGGAAAGAAAAATGATTTTTAGGTTACAATTAATTATA